TCTGACTAAGCAGAAATCTAGGAAGAAAACATACAGAAAAAGCATAAGAAATTACCAAAGAAGTAACACAAAACATTTCCCAGAACTGAAAGATATACCTTACTGTATCAAAAAGTTCCACTTAGTAGTCATTTTAATGAATAAAAAAGGTACATTGAAGGATATTATCATTAATTTTCAAACCATCAGAGATATATGGTGGTGGTGACGATGATGATGATGATGATGATGATGATGAGAGAGAGAGAGAGAGACTGACAGATTAGGAGAAAGTTCACATCCACTGGATTAGGAAACAGACTAGCATCAGCCTTTTTAGCAGCAAAATACTGAGGGGAAAATAATTTCTAAACAAGAATTTAATGCCTCATCAAACCAATGAAGTTGAAAGAAGAGCAAACTTAGGATTTCAGACAAAGTCTTTAAAAGGTCCCTGTCCACATGTCTTTTTCTAGTCCTCAGCTCTGCAAGATGCCTTATATTCTATTGTCTCTTGCCTTAGTCTTCAAGCATCCTGTGGTGAGAAAAGCATGGGAATTCGTAGACAAATTTGTGATGACTCCGGTAGATAGCATTCCGAGTTGTTGCTCTCGTATAACTCTGCACATTACACAGACCTTTCCAACTGTTGAAACAAATGAGAGATTTTCCAATCTTGCATGATAGTTTCAAACATGCAGGTGTTAAAGGACTGCATATAACAGTTGGTCACCATTAGAGACTGGAACTAGATCTATTAATTTCCACAAGGTTAACCCTGTCTATGGAGTTATCCATGAAGTCCGTTCAACCAAAACAAACAGAAAAATACCACTTTATGGAAAGACATTTTTATCAAAAATCAAAATTCCTTCTTTCCCTCTCAGTCTTCTCCATAAATAATATGGTAGGAAGCAGGAACATGTTGGTTCAGCACCTAGCTGGTAGAAAGCAGTTAATAACTAACTTGACGAGTTGACTGCTGAACTCACGACCAGATGACTGCATGGTTCTAGGTGTAAGGTGAAGCCTGGTTTGAGAATTGCATGATTGGTTATCTTTCCAGATTCTACAGTCTTGGACTAGTATGGGAAAAGCACATAGCAAGTGGCCATGGAGACCTCCCTAAATAGTATTGGAATCTAAGTATAGAATTGAAGAAAAGGATATAGAGGAATCAAAGACCAAATTCTGGCTTCTGCCTTATAGATGTACTTTATATATGCCAATTGAATGTATGATTTGGAGAAGGCAGTAAATGCCAGAATAGGATGCCTGAGATGTCATCCTTAAAATTCCATTATTTTTTTTGAACTCTGAATCTTGTATTAAAATTTAAATTACATTTGGGTCATTTGTACCTCAGTGTGAATAAGTTTCAGATCTTCTTCTAAGACAGAATATATGTCAGAGCACAAAGCTTGGTGAAAACAGGGGGAAATGGGTACATAAACAAGAGCCGAGGGAGTCAGAAACCAGGTTCATTTCTGCAGCAGTGAGGGAGCAGCTCCATGGCCCTCCGTGGTATCAAGCTTCCCTCACATGTATGGGGGCCACCCATTGATCCAAAGCAGCAGGGAATTTTCATCTTGAAAATCAATTTATAGAAAAAAGTCTGTTGAGACAAGGAAGGGTGACAGGCAGGTAAACTAGGATTTGTGTGGCTTCCAAATGCTTATTAAACATGTTGCTGAAACTCCCAGGTTGTATATCAACCAGCTGGGGATTACAGCTGGGGATTAATTTAGATTTACGTAGAATCTAAGCTTCTCTATCAGCCCTCAGTTGCTGAAGAAATGGATTGTTAGGCAGAGCTTTAGAGCCAGCCCAGGGACCAGGACTTAATAATGCATTTCAGTGGGGATCAGAGGTTCTGGGGTGATCAGTGTGTAAATTCTTAATCCCTTTATACACATTTGATGATTTATTCAGCACCATGACTCATCATCACCAGGCATGCTATGTGAAATGTTTCCCCTGACCTCCTGCACAGACCCACCAGTAACTCGTTCAGATTGCCCTGTTGGAAATCATCTGAATACGGCGCATCAGTGTTCACATACGCAAAGACTGCTAAAGCCTGGATATTACAGCAGTTTGGATCAATTTATCCTCCTGTGCTCTCATTTTTATCATCGAAATTTAAAACTGTATTGTTTATTGATACCCATATGTTTACTTGGAAAGGAGCAAAACACTATAAAAGCTGTTGTCTGTGTGATTTTTAGCACACTATATATGAGATGTGTTTAAAATGTTAAGAGATCAATTCATTATGAAGAATTTTCTCCCAGCTAAAGGGGAGTGAATTATTTAAAAGTCTTGGCATCCAAAGCAGCTAGTACACTCTTTTCTCAGTCATTTATAAGTACTGTCATCCATGTAACCCCAATTTTATTTTTCACTGTCAGAAAATCTCAACTATAACAAAATGTAAAGACCTTGGTGAGGCAAACAAACCACAAAAGAGAGAAATTAGAGGCTTAACATATATAGAGAGAAGAGTGTAGCTCATGTGGAGTCCTCTTTGTTGATTAGGGCCTTTAGGGAAACTTGTTGGAAAGTGAATATATGGCTCTATTTTGTAGTTGGTGGAAGTGAACTTTATTGCTTTGGTTCTTGACTTTCCTACCAAGATCCATAGTCATCATTTCTCCCTTTGCCCTACAGAATTTCCTCCTTTGGATTGTATCATATGTTGTACCATATATTGCCTTGTATTGCTAATCTGTTTCTATCAATATTTCTTGTCTTTTAATTTTGTGTTAACTTATTCTGTGCACCACCACTTATTCTCCTCCATTCAGAGGACTATTTTAGCGTGTGACAGGCACTCAACGAATGTTTGTTGATTGAGTGACATCATTGATCAACACCGACATGTTGCACATCGGTGATTGTACTATTTGAGCTATGTAAAATCATTGTGGAATTTGTGGCTAATCCAAACTATTGATTAGAGTATTTCACATTTTATTTCTGAAGTAACTGATTATATATGTAAAGAAAATCAACATGTGTAAAAACAAAAGGAAAGCAAACAGTACTTAAGATTTCCATTACGATTGTCGTTAATACCCCATCTCCATCTCAGTTTAGCTGTTTTGCGATGGCAAGCTATCCTAGTGCAGTCTTATAATTTTTTGTAGGGCTAAGCTTGACTAGGAGTTAACAGATCTGGATTCCAGTTCCAGTGCCACCACTGTTTGCTACTTTCATGAGCAAATCACTCTAACTTGTTCTGGACTCACTTTCACACTTCTGTCAAAGAAAAACGTGTTATGCTTTGGCATAGGGTTATAATGTGTGGATGAAATGATAAGACATTTGAAAGAATTTTGGAACCTTAGAATGAGCCTCACTTCCTTGTATCCCAAGTTAATATAATCATCGTGTAATATTTTTTAAGGGATAGTGGATTAGATTTTTTTTTCCTTTATAAGGCAAAATACTGTGACTCTGATTCATGAAAGCAAATATAGATTTCTCATATTGTAAGAATTCTTAGTACCATCAACTGTTGTTTTCAGATATTTTGTATCTATTAAGAATGATTGAGAATGAATGATTTCTTTTTCTTCTCCTTTGTGTAAAGATTATCATTGCTCGTGTAATGATCTTACATTCTCACACATCTTTTGTTCTCTTTGGACTCATTGTCTTTTTGACTTTGCCTTCTCTCTGTCACAATGGCTTCTCTCCCCTGACCCATCTCTTACACTGAATAACTTGGATCTGTTGGTAACATTAACCTGTCTTAGGAGAATGAGTTGTTTTTAGGAAAAAGATGATGGATTTGGCTCCACTGTGCCTCCCAAATACAATCTAATCTTTGAGTTTAGGTTTCAAAACTTTGGCTTAACCTACCGCCTCAACTTTAATTCTCATCCTTACCTCATTCTGTACTGCATTCCAATGGTTGGAAACGTGTTGATCCTGATCATAATTTTCTTGCTTCCTATGATTGTGTTGTTCTCCACATCCGCTTGTTGAAATTCTGCTTATCTTTAAGTACCATCTCTTTCAAGAAGACTGTGGCCCTCCCACTGCAAGCATGTTTCCTCTTTTGGCCGTCAGAACCCTTTTGTATCTACCTTTTTTATGGCACCTATCCTATTCTGTTTTATATTACTGGTTTTTTCAATTTGTTTATTCAGTTATTTTCTGCTTGTTTTATTCCATTTCTATCTCTGTTGATCAAACTTTGAGCTTCTTAGGTATATTCTACTTACCATTATATTCACTAGAGTCTCTAGGAAATTTTTCTTGGGCCATAAGAAGGAGCTCATAAGAATTGTTGAATTAAATTGAATTGCTGGGCCACATTTTTAAATACGGTTATCAAGCTGAGCCTTTTATTGAGCTGAACAAGAATAAATCTCCAGTGTTAGTGTACTAGAAAAGAGTCTTTCAGTGTTACTAAAAGGGAAGAATTAATCTGTTAAACCATTAATATTAGTGAGCTTAGAAAATATGTATTGCCAGAAATCAGTAACCAGGTATCACAGACAGGTGGAGTGATGAATGGTGTCTACAAAGCTAAATACTTGACTTATGTGTTTGACACACAGGACACACATTTAAAGCTTATCAGGAGTCTACGAAGCATAAAAAGAGTGCTCTAGAATTTGGGCATTTTTAAAAACAGAAAGGTAAATCCTGCATGCTTGAATAAAAACTTGTATTATGCAGTTTCCCTAGCCTTTTGTTAGGCTTTTGTTAGCCGTTTGTTCCCTAGCTTCAAATAGTGCTCTTTACAAAGAAATCAAACTTGAACGAACTTTTTCAAGTAGTACCAGGAGCGGCTTTGTGTTTTTATTATTATTAAAACATGAAGGGATCTTTCTGGAGAAATAACATTTCCTAGTATTTGGAATCCTATGAAGGCCACATCTATATAGAGAAATAGGGGCGTTAGCATGAGCGCAGTCATTAATAGGCTTCCTGACTCTTTAAAATTCTGTCCATTTATTCACATTTCCCCTACCTATTGCATTCACTTGTCTATATTTTCTTCTTAGATTATTAAAATGGGAAGAAAGTTTCACATTCATTCCTCGGTCCCGTGAAGAGCTTCCAGACAACTTTCCAAAGGAAATCCCTGGGATCTGCTATTTCCTGGAGGTGAGGACTGGTCCTAAGCAGCCGAAGCCTTCTCTGTCTTCATCAAGAATAAAAAAGGTTTCCTACAACATTGGCACCATGTTCCTCCGGGAGACAAGCCTCTGAGACCTGCTGCAGATCAGAGACTCCTCCAAAAAGCACAAGCCCAGAATGTGGGTCATGACTGGAGAGCGGAAAGAGATGGCTTCTCTTTCACTGCTTTGTGGAGAACAAGCAGCGGAATTTCTGTGGTATGTCAGGCAATAATCCTAGAAAATGTGGGTGATGACTATCCATTAAAAAACTGGAGGGCAGGGGGGAAATAGGATGTGTCCATCTATTTGAGTGTTTTTGGTCATATATATATTTTAATTACAACTATGGGCCCCCTTTCAAAACTAACCAATAAATAGATTCTGCGTTTTCTTGTTTGTCGCACATGCAGGTATCTTTCCCTATGTATTTGTATCACTTTTGAGAGCCAGTTTTGATTATATATTCCTACATTTAGTGAGTTGGTATGTGAGGAATATTTTCTAATTTGGTTTTTCTGAACAGACATTTCATACATATATCATGGCAGTGTGGTCGACTTCCCGGCAGGAAGAACTATAACTCAGCAAAATATTTTAGGGATATTACCTATTTTTATACATATCTCTTCTTCTAGTTAATTACATTTCACACAACATTAATAGATTTTCTGAATCTGCTACTGTATAGTTGGTATATTATGTAACTGTAACCTATTAATCAAATATAGTTCCACTTATTTAGAGAGACTAGAGCCTGGACTGACAATATATATAACCAAGGATTTCAGATGCTGAGAAAGCATTGTATGTCTGCTTAGTAAATATATCTTTTAGATTTAATTAATGTAGTATGGAATCCAGATGAAATGGGATTTCCTAATAGCAGATATATCTGTAACCAAGATTAAGGAAATGTCCTTTTGCCATCTAACAAATATCAGTTAAGATGAAATGCTTTGCTACATTGGACCCTTTTCAACTTAGCACTCATAAATGTAGGTTGTTCTTGCAACATACTAAACTATGTTCTGATAAACAGAATCGTGCTAAGTGACATGTTAGTACTCCCCCTCCCCCTCCTCCGTGGATGCCTGCTAAGGACTAACTGCCACTCTTGGGAGGAAATCCCTGAATACTGGCATTACTGAGAAAGTGATGCAGGACATGTTGCCACGAATGTTGTTTCTTCTTGCATAATAAAAAACAGAGAAAAACCTGTATTTTATGGCTTTGAAATTTTAAACAATTATTCTTCTGCACTTTGGTTGATGTGACTTTTAAATTCAGTGAAGTGGGTCTAACCTTCAGACCTAGTAATCACCATAGTTACAGATAGGCTGCCATCACATGTTTGGCTAAAAGGAAGACGTGTTCCCAGTAATTAGCACTGCATGAAAATATAATTTACACTCACCCTGAAATTAGGAGCACGGTGTGTCCAGAGATTTCCTATTTTGGATCAGATGTAAAACCTAAGTTTCCACTGAGGTTCATGAGCTGGAAGCATTTGTTTCCTTGGAACCTTGGGGTGGCCATTTTCTTACTCCAGTAGGTATACTCGTTGGTAGCTTATGTCTACTGAAGGTGATGTTTTTCTTTTTCTGGTCAGGGATTTTGGCTGCATTATGATTTGGTTTTGATATAACTCTGCTAAGGAGTATATTAACTAGTATCCAATGTAGTCTATGAGGCTTAATTAGTGTTTTTAAGTTCTCTAAGTGGTAGCTAGAAAACATTTATAGATATGCAAAGTATTTGTTATAACGGTGATCGCTTTTATAACTGTTGACCTCTGTTCTCGCCCTGGGGCTTGTGAGAACACTAATGCAACACTCTTCATGTGGAGACAGGACCTAGACCCAGAACTCTCTGAATCCTTGCCTGTCCATTCTTCCCTGGGTCTGGGTCTCTGTTTTGAACCATGTCGGGGTGAGAAGGCCAGGTGTTTACAGGAGGCTGTGTAGGCTGAGGACAGGATGCTCTCATGGGAGTAATTACTCAGAACGGAATCTCTTCAGGGGACTGGGAGATTAACCCACTTCCTTCATAGGGAACAGGGAGGAGGTTTACAGTCAATGTGGACAGAATAGGATGGGAGCGCCTCAATCCTCATGTCAAGAATAGGAAACACCTTAGCTATGCTGATGGGCTCCTGATAGCACAGAAGCATGGGGACAGAATCAAGCTCACTGAAGTCATTTATCCTTTTTCTGCACAGTAACTTAGAGCTTATTATGATATAGTAAATCAATAAATATTTTGGTGGTAAATATTGTGTTTTGTAACTATAAGGCTGAAAAGGACTTCCAGGAGTCATCCAATCTATTCCTCTGCTTTTTGTAAAGATTTGTCTAAACAACTCTTCTAAACATATGATTATTCTTTCTGTACTTAAGACTATCTATGGGAAGCATATTTTAAAAGCGTCATTGAAAATCCACTTCATTATCCGTTAATTGGTAATAAGGCCCTAGACAAGGATTGTATGTACATTGTTTATCAGAAGAATAACAAACTCTTTCTTAGTGTATATGATTTTACTTAACGAAGAGGTAGCCATTTCCATTGTCACAAATGTCACAACGAAGAATATGCCAGAGATCTATTATATATCACAGACAGGATGTAAACTACATTTTTCATACAATATAATCCAAATGTATCTTTGAAGCTATAGTCTGAGGCAATGGTCTGATCTGTTACCATTTTGCCAACCTAGTACAGTCGATTATTATAGTTACTCTGTTGCTATATGTGTTTGCAAGGTACTGTATAAAATAGCTGTTCATTCCAGCTTCAGTCATAGAATTTTGAAGCTGTGAAAAAGTATTATATTTTTATTTGTCCCACATAATACAGTCCACACATCCTCCATTAGGAATTGTGACTATAACAATGGGTGGTAGTTGGTATTTCATTTGACTAATATCTGTACAGTATTCTCACCCACAAACTATTACACACATCATGCACTTTAAAGTATCAGATTAAAGGGAATTTAAATGGATGTCCCATTAGAAATCAAGTGGTATTAAATCGGGGAAATGGTTTTAACCCACTCTAAAAGGGATACTTTAAGATAAAATTTGGCACCTCTGTTATTATATTAAGATATAATATAGCTCCTCTGTTTTAATGTTCTTTCAAGCAACTAATTTGAAGAAGTCACTTTATGACTAGCAACTAGCCATCAGTACCAAAGCTTCACATTGGCATCTGTATCCTTTTGATGGGGAGAATGTCATCATTTGCAAATAGATCAGTTATCTAACAAAGTCAGAAACCTCCATATGTACCCAAACCATACTGCACAGTATGTGCTTTGTGAACCTTAATAAATAGGTAATATTAGCCATAATAAAAAGAATAATACTCAATGCATGGAGAACACATATAGTTGGGTCTCTAGGCTGTGTAGTGTGATGTGGAGAAGGGAAAGAAGATATAGCTTCTAGGTAACAGGTAACCCAACTGTCTAAAATCTTCCTTGATAGTCATCTCTTCTCTTATATTTTAAGTTGTTTTGCGTTTCACTTTTAATACTTGATTATGTGTGCAGTCCAGTGACCTATGACCTATTGTGATTCTGAGACAGGCACTGATGCCCAAGACTGGAGAGTGGGTCTGTGAATTCAGTCCTGCAAATGTGAACTTTCATGGTCTCACCCTTGGTCCTCTTGCTCAGTGACAAGAATATCCGGAACATAGTGTTTTATTGTGAAAGTGCAAAAGTGTGTACTTCTCCAGGAAAAATGAAGCAAAACAGGACAACAACTTGAACAAAATTTCATTCACAAGTGCAGCAAGGCTTTTAATTTTGCAAATTCCTCCAGAGTTCCAGCAATAAAGCAAAATTAAATTGATAGAAGCAAAAGGCAAAGCCACAGAGAATTTGGAAAACCTCCAGGCTCTGTGTTTTATACAGAATCATATTGCCACCAATTGAAATAGTGTATTTGAAGTTGTGAGGTATCAAGAGGGAAATCAAGGGTACGACCATCATTAAACGTATTTATTGAAGCCTCCTTGAGTTCCTGACATGCTGAGGGCAGGTGTTGTGGTTATCATGGCAGAGAGTAAAACTTCTACACATAGGTTTCTGTCTCATCATGCATGTTGAGCAATACTAAGCCCATACCCAGGCCCTCTCTTACTCCATGCTGTCACTGGAAACCATCTCGCCCCCACAAGCCTGGCCTCAGCAAACATCTCTGTACCCTTGAACCTAAAATAGGTACAGAAAAAGTTTCCGATGCCTGTTTCAGGCAGATAGGAAGACCCACACAACTCGAGGGGCAGGTAACAAGGCACTTCTGAAGGGAACTAAGCATTCTCAGTTGTGCTTGGGTGTTGCTTAAATCTGCAGCTTCTCCCTCTGCTTTTTCTTCAAAATACAATCTGACTTCAAGTACTTGGTGTAACTTCTCTGTATGTTCCTTCGGAATGAATTATACGTGACCCTGAACAGGCTTTGGGTGGCACTAGATGCCTTTCAGCCAATAATATGTAGAAACTCAAGTCTAAGAACCAAGTTCTATATTATAACCCGGGATTTCTATTATTAGATTACACATCTTCCACTAGGAAAATTAGGTCATTTCAGAGGCTTCTGTAAGCATGTCTTATTAGATACAGCCTGAAAACATGATGCATGAGAGACTAAATTATTAAAATTTAACATATTCCAGTTTGAATGATGATTCTTTATGAGTAGCTCTTAATATGAATATACTTAATTCACAACCAGCTGATTTAAAATACACATAAATTGTGTTAACATGATTGAACAAATTTTATTGTAAAATGGATAAATTGACCCCAGCTGTGGACTCAATTTCAAGATACTCATGGTGGTGAATGAAGAACAGACACTGAGGTTATATACAGATTAACATAAATCTTGACAGAGTATATTGAGATAGTGTGCAAAATTCCTTCCTCACACTTGATTCAAACAATTGAAACCTAAGTATTATTGTCTTGCCACCTTTCTGTTTCCTTTCTTCCTTTCTTCTTTCTTCTTCCTTTTATGAAAAAAAGTCATGGATGCATTTGTAACACAGGGAGAATCACGGTCCATCTCATGTTGTAAAATTAGTTTTAATTTTATAAAGTAATGAATATTCTTTGTTGTGTGTGTTGAATGTAGATATTACATGATTAAAAGGAGTGACATTTTGGAAGGACTTGGGATGTAGAGAAGTAAAGTTTGTGTTGAACGTAGATATTACATGATTAAAAGGAGTGACATTTTGGAAGGACTTGGGATGTAGAGAAGTAAAGTTTGTGTCTGTATTTCTAATATGTGGTGACCAGACTACAGCTTCATTCAAGTGCCTCATTGCCATCCCATTCTTATTAAGAGATGGTCCTCTTAACTCATCAGCTTGCCAGAGTCTGGCTCCCTTCATAAGAATTACCTAGGAAGCTTTTAGGAATACAAATTACTGGCCTGTACCTTCAGAGATTTGGATTCAGTAGGTCTCAGGCGGGATCTATGAATCTGTATTTAGAAAATCAGTCTAGGTAATGCTAATATACAGACAGATTTTGGAATCATTGAAGAGTATTCAAATAATTCCAATTACTGGGAAAAAATACAAGTTGACTGAGATAGTATTATATTATTTCATTTGTAGTTATTTTGAAAAGCTAAATACTCTGGGCTTCATAGCATTATTTCTTTCACAAATTTTAATTTTAGCTTTAGTTTCAAATTTATGGTCTGCCTTTTGAACATGAGTCTTCAAACTTATTAGAGACAGAAGTCAACACTGATAAGCATGAGGGATGAATATTGCTCACTATAGGGCTATTAGGGATACTACATATGGTACCATTTTCTTAGTTACTGCTGGAGCTGTGCAGTATATCACAGTATTTGCTGATCCTCACCACTGAGATATAAACTATGAACTTTGGGACAGAGAAGCAAATGTTGAAATGACAGCCGTATTTCTGAATGCTTCGATTTTTATGTTATGAAAAATTACCAACTTAATACTTTGTCTCATTCTGTACTTTTCACATTGAATTGTACATTCATCTAAAAATGATTTCCTAGCAATATCTTGTAACAACGTTTCAAGCAATAATGTAAGCCATGGTGATGATGCCATATGAAACTTTCACTTCTGTGCACTTCAGAGAACTTTTAGGGAAATAGCGACATCTTTAACATAAGCAATAATATAGCTAGTGTGGACTTTTAAAAGATATTCATCATTTACAACAGCAAAATGAGCAGCAAGTGATGACTCAGATATAAATCATCTGAGCAAATGACATGCTTCATCTATCTCATAAGTCATTCATTTGCACACACGCTATAAAGTAATTAGTATATTCCCATCACATTATTTCTGTTGTGTAATTTTTAACATACCTATCATAATATGATTTATATTCAGATCAAGAGATTTGTGTGTGTATGTAATGTTGCCCAGATTTTCAGATCTTTGTAGTATATAATAATAGAGAGTAATTAAGGATGGATAAATGAGTAAAAGCAGAGCATAGGTTGGATGAATTGGTTGAGAAGGTAGGCTTTGCAAAAATATGGATGGGTCTTTGGACAAGTTAATTAGTTTAAAGGTTGGTTTGATAAAGTCTTAGGAGACAAATGATTAAAAATAAAAAGAGCTCATTACCACTGTTTTTTATGATGGCAAATGTTTAGTAAGTATAAGTATTTTGGCTTCAGAACATGATTGGTTGAAGTCACCTGTAGTATAATTAATAAACACTGGAAAGTGATTATGTAGTGATGTTGAAGGTAACCTGCCCTTCTCAGCTATTTTGATGCTAGTACTAAAGCTTGCAGATTTCAAAATGGATAATTCATATTTTTAGTCTTACTTCTTAAAATATAATTTTAATCAAATGTGGCATAGTCAATAATAATCAGTCCTTTAATAGTTTAATTATCCCTCCATCATTTAGAATGATGTATTAGGATTATAGCTAAAAGCGCTGGTACACTTATGTTACACTGAAGAACTTCTGAATGTTAGATTACTATTTAGCAAAGTCATATAAGCTTAGGATCCATTGCTAAGCCTCTAAATAAGATTACAACTCCTATTATTGCCGAGCTGGGTAAACCCTTCTAATTGTGAATCTGAACACAATCGGAATGCTGTGTGGGTTTGCCGGTATTTTTACCTTCTTATTACCCATGGCAAAATTCCAGTTAGCATCCTCCACCCCAAAATTCAGAAAATTTCTCTATAAAAATCAAACAGGATTGTTGATCTGTGAGAAAGCTTTTGACCATTATCTTTTTGCATATTATTAGATGCTTAAGAAGCTTGCTTCTTAATTGTTAATAAATAATGAAAATATTTAATTTGAATCCATTAAATTACAGTGAATTTATCCTCTCAGTTAATTCATCTAATTGTTGATCAGATCATTCTTAATATTAGACTTAAGCACTGTTGCTTATTATTTGAAAGCAGAAGAAACAAGAAAAACTAGATGATCAGCCTAAGTAATAGCTTGTTTCTCATTCTTTTGATCCAAATTTTAAAAATAAAGGAATTGGTTTATATTCATTCTTCCTCTGTGGCCTTTTCACTATTTGTAGATAAAGAAGGGATTCTAAAAAATATATTTTTTACAGTGGTCTATTAAATGTAATTAAATTTAAGTAGGACGTAATGTATTAATTAGGGTAAAATCAGAAATGCACAGAATTGCTTCTTCACACCACCTCACTCTTTAAAGACAATTGCTTCCATTTTGCTGCATGGCAGTTAGTTATACATCAGACTGAGGACACAGGGACAGATGGAGAGGGTAAGACGGACAGGAGCTTTAGATGAGATTGAGCAAAGAGATTTAATTTTTTTCCTCATGAAGGTATAGTTACTCTTAAAGGGGAGGCCGTTTCCATAATAGACACGTCTGGTTTATTGAAAGCCAAATGATTTACTTGACTTCTGTTCATTTTTATTTTGAAAAGAAAAGAGAAAGAAATCCTTCACAAGCCATTTTCAGTTTTTTTAGGAGATAGTGTCAACCTCTCAGCAGCTGCACATATGAGTGAAAACTGGGATTACAAACTCATAGAGCTATATATAGAAACTCTCTGAAGGTGGCAGATAGAACTAGTCTTGGTTACAATGATGGAGGTAAATGAAAGTGTCAGAACATCTGGACTGAAGGAACAAAGAAGACCAAATACCAGCTCTGCCATATGTCACAGAAACCCCTGCTAAAATTAGCACAAAAGAACAGACTATCAGTGTGCAAGTGATATTAAAACGAAAGATTTTTTTTCCTTTTATAACATGCCTGGCTGAGCTAACATTCAATAAGAAAAATACAATTTAATTTCATACATTCTTTTTTTGTTGTTCTGACATTATAGAAATTACATCTTTCCCTAGTTGGGAAATCTAATCACAAAGAGCACGAAATATGTATTCTTTGTCCTAAAATCGGTAAAACTATTTTCTGGGCTATCCTATATTCCGTATTTTTCTTCACATTGTTCTCAAGTTGGGCTTTGGCTGCCAACAAAACAAATGCTCGACTTCAGAGTAGAAAGAAGCCTTTATGACCCCAGGCCTATCCATCTCATTCAGGAATGCTCCAGAGAGTTGGGGCTGGGGAGAGAGTCCTCCACAGCGTCTGATGATGTTCTGTGGGAGAGAGGAAGATGTATTCCCAGTCTTCTAAAATTAAAAGTGCTTAGGTAGCCTCTTATCATCATTCAAAGATGCTACATTTATACATAACTGGTTAATTCAAGCAGAGTTTGTCGAGAACAGAAATTTTACAAGGAAGAAACAAACTTGAACAATTTTTAATCAGAATTATCGATTAGCAAAATAATTTAGGACAAAAACTAAACTTGCTGTCTCGAAAGAGTCAACTTACTTATATCCAAAGTCAGAATGCTACACACTTTTGAACATTTTCTAAATGTATCAAGTTCTTCAGCACTGAGAAAGGAAAATAATTTTATTTATGGATTCCTTAAGGTTTTACCCCCTGGAGATAGCACATAACTGTGAATTACATAAAAAGTGTTTTTCTCTATGATTTGGTTGTTGAAAAAAAATGTAGAAGATGCCATAAATAAGACAAAATTACAAATTGTGGCATTGAGCCATGGTTTGCAAATTTGGCAACATTCTTTTGCTGAAAAAAATAAGCTGGTTTTAATAATACAAGGATTAAAGATAATAGTCAAATAATACTGTGTTCAGACTTGTTCACATTCGGATATAGAGCAAAGCATCTCAAATTTCACAGAATAAAATTTAAGCCAAAGCCAATTTATGTTAAGTTATTTGAACAGCAAATAGCAATATTTCTATGTCACCTCTGACTAACAGGAAACTGCATTTCCATATCCAGTGAAACTTCAATTCCTAGAGCAATTCTACTTTTATTGCCTCCCCAGAGGCACTCCTTTATGGTCAATATAACTAACTTTCGAGGCTGGCAAGAGAGTATGGCTTTCTTCTGAGACTGGGTTGATCTGGATCAGTATATTTGTGTATAACCACTTAAAAGGTCCCCCTCTATTTTTTTAAAAATCTTTTTTAGTTCAAATCTCCATAATTAAAGTGAAGCAAAACATTGGAGCAGTCAGAAAGTTTATCAACAACATGAAACCTCTTTCCAAATTTTATTGGTCTATCTTACAATGTTGAAATTAAAGCTTAAGTTTGGCGTGGGCTCTCAGATAAATTCCTTTGTATTATTTGACTAGAAAGTATTATCAAGAAGAAGAAATTAACTCTCATGGGAGACCTCACGCTAGCCAAGAAGGTCTAGATAAACTAGATGACTGTGTAATTGTGTTCAGTAATTCAGGAGGTTTTTTAAAATTCTTTAATTTTTGCTCTTGTGCAAAGATAATTATTAGTAGATGGCAGCCAAAATTATTATTCCTATCTTTTAAATTTGTTTCAAGTGTGTCACTGGGCACTTATAAAATCCATCCCTTTCATTTATTATGTAACTCAATGACTTGGAACAATGGGTACTCAATGCTTTTTCCTTTGATCCTTAAAAACGCTTTTTTTCTGTCAAAAGAATTCTCCTACTAAAATTCAAATGAATACCTGACTATAAGAGGTACCCATTTTATGAGCATATATGAAATACTTTAACCGGATACAGCTGGACTGTAACAAAGAGAAAGAAAGGATACCGATAAGGAAGATGAAAAGAGACAGAAAAATCAAATTTTGCCTACATTAAAATTATGTCTAAAACCCAACTCTATTAGCCTAGAAGAAAGCTAGAAATAGAGGGTAAGGTTAACTGATTATAGATTTTTAAACACAGTATTCATATTTAACAGAATGTCATAAAATTCAGCATGTCAAAACTTTGTTTAAACAAACAAGAAACTTAAGAAATATGCTAATCAGAATGAATCTATTTAAAGGGACAAAAAAACCTTCTTGAATTATAAAATGCCCACCAGTGCAGAATTTGTTTTCTGTTGGGAAAATTTGGTACTATGTTTTCAATCAATATTTGCTGTATGATCAAATTAAGCATTATGTAGTCTTTATGCTAATGAGAAACTGTGTAAGAGTCCAAATATCAAGGGTGGCTATCGCTTTGAATATCAATAGAGTTTGATATTATTTCTGAATAGAACTGTAAGTGAATGTAAAATGAATGGGCTATATGTATAGATATTATGTGCAGTAAACAAATTAGGCCCTTAAAGTTTGTCAGCATCCTCAGCTTCTGGTTTTTTTTTTTCATTCTGTCCTTCTTTCCCTCCCTGTCTTTCTCCCTCCTTCCTTTTCCTTTTCTTTCTTCCTTCCTTCCCTCCCTCCTTCTTTCTTTCTTTCTTTCTTTCTTTCTTTCTTTCTTTCTTTCTTTCTTTCTTTCTTTCTTTCCTTCTTTCTTTCTCTCTTTCTCTCTCTCTTTCTCTCTCTCTTTCTCTCTTTTTCTTTCTTCTTTCTTTCTTTCTCTCTCAGTCTGTCTCTCTCTCTGTCTTTCCTTCCTTCCTTCTCTCTCTCTCTCTTATGGAGGATTTCTTATTTTGACTGGGGCCTCCCTTTTTCACTTTCACATGATTTAACACTTTGTGGATTCATGAGGTAAGGAAAAGAAGGTGAACATTTAGATATAGATCATTTGAGGATAGGAATGACTGAGACAATGGAGACCTTGGCTTCTAGAGGCTTCATAAGTTAAGAGGAACATGAGTCTGAAAAAATATCTGTTGTTCTTTTTCACTGAATTTAAACACTTTCTCAAGAAGTATCAGGGTCACTTTTTTTGGACAATCTCCTATTTTTTTCACCTATAAATATCTTAATATAGAAAAATCCTCTTATTTTCAAATAGTACATTTTTACTTGGGTACCACATTGCTAGAGATTGAAATAGAAAAGAAGCTTCTTCTATTTGTAAGGAAATTGTTTTCTGAAGACAACTTCCCAATAAGGCAAATACACCAAACGCTACTTGAATTTACTGGCTCTTTATTTAGAGATAACCGATACACTGTCTTGCTTCCTGTATACCCCTCAGTAACTTGGTTTGGCATAGCATGGTGTTTTGGGTCCTTTTGTGAGGGTTTGAAAACATTTGCCATCAATTTTATACATTTAATGTACTGAAAAAGCAATATACAATGTATTCCATATTTCTTAGCTCTATGCCTTTGAAATTTTAACGTATATTCAGATAGCTGTTTACAATCACAATTTTGACTTATTCACTAGAGTTAACAAATTACTATGTTCTAAAATACAAAAGACACAGGGTGGATCATTTTGTGATGTATCAAGGGATCAATCATTTGCAAATCCCAATCCAAAGCCATTTTGTTTTTCAGGGAAAATTCAATCATTTCTAGCAGAGTATTTGATCCATAAGGGAAAAGAAGTCAAATAACTTACTTAAAAGAGTAATAATGAGGAAGACAGAACAGAATATGTCCTTCCATTTTAGGTACCCCCCCAACACTATAATAATTTGAGCAAGTCTTAAGATTGAAAGAATCTTTAATTTCCAAAACCGAAAATCTTTTTCTGTTCATATGTTCATGTTAGTGTATTAATATTACATTCAAACTTAAGTTGTCTCTGTGACATAAGTTTGTGTTCATTAAGAGAAAATCATATAGAAGTAATACAGCTTTTTCCTCTCTGGAAAAATATGCTTCAGTAAGTCAAATATCTTTGAATTTTGGTTCTTTTTTCTCATTTTGGACTTTGTTATACACCTCAGGGGTCTTCTACTCTAACAGATCAGGTAGTCAGTCAAAGGAAGAGATATAAAATATTCAGAAAAATTAAAAACTTCAAAAGGGAAGAATTTCTATGTTAATTGAATTTTATTTATTCCACAGTGGCTAATCAATTTTAAAACTGTGAAAAGACAGGCAGCTGCCATATAAATTGACATCTATGAAAATATAAATTATTTTCTTCCTGTTATTTTAAGTGTTAGGAAAGCCTTGTCTTGAAATGACAGACAATCTTAATACTTGTTCAAGTGAAGAAATATGACCTTCAATACATTTACCATTTTTATTTCTTGAGGGAAACATTTTTAATAATGAATATAAAAACAGAAGAAATATGATTGAGGAAAACCAGAAATTAAGATGAAATTTGTACATCTGTGATCCACAGTGCCATTTTTTCCTTCTATTTTGTTGCCTCTTACTGAATTGATATCTAAGACCCAGATAGGCAAAATTTACAAGCTACTAATAGTTGTTTCTTTTAAGAATTTGGAAGTAGGCAAAAATTATTCCACTTATGTTGAAATTGACTCACATCATCACAGCAGGTTATGAGGACTGGGGAAGTCAGGCGAGGCTCAAATAGAAAAATGGTCCTTAGAGAGAAAAGTTTCTGATTTTTCTCAGAGCTATATGAACAGCTTTTCCTTCATTAAAAAAAAGAATCTTCCTGAAAGTTTTGTCTTGGAAAAACTCTAAAGTTTTGTAACAGCTGCCTGTAACCACGTTATTACTTTAGTAATCAAGTGACAAAACTGGGTCATTATGCTTTTAAAATGTACCAATTAAGTGCATTTCAAAAATAATACATATCATTTTTCATTTCAAAATCAACCTACCTGAATTCTGACTCTTCAACTGTGAGTAGCCATTTTACAAAACCAAAGGGTCTCATTTCCCAGACAATATTTTAGATTAAAAAACTTGCCTGCTCATTTCAATGCATAAGATAAACAGCCAATGCATTTCCATCAAACATCCTGGCACTATATAATAAGAAATAGGTTTCCCAACTCACTTACTAAAAACACATAGTTATAATGTACTAGGCCTTCATTGATTTCTTCTGCATGGGGTAGGTTTTACTTAATCAGACAGCTAAATTATTTTAATGTTTTGTCCAATTCATTTGCTGTAATTTCATGGGTCTAAATTTTTGGTTTGGCTTGCAATGTAAATAATATTGTACATCTGCTATTTTGCTATTACGTTATACTTTGTGAATCATTTCTTTTAACAATCTAGTTATCACAAACTTAACTTACAATGTCATCAAGTAATACCAGGTAAATATACTAATATATCTGTAGGGCATGGTTAAATTGCACATATTTTGAAATGTCAAGCTATTTTTTGCTTTTTTAAAGATGAATGCATCTTTTAAACCTGTACCATTAATTTAAAAAGTTTCATTCAGTGTTTCACATTATACTTTAAAATATTTTCCTTTATCCAGTAGTACAGGTTTAGAGAAATTTTTCTGATCGAAATGATAAAATATGCCTCATTTCACTAGAATTTCAAGAATACTAGTACATGTAGAAGTATGTAAGCACTTACAGAATTATAAACATCCACTGTGTCTTCTTTGCTTTTCATGTAACGCTACTTTTTATTCATTTGATTGTTTATTTGTAATTATTCTAAATCATGCACAATGTAAATAGCATGTTTCATTATGCAAAATGTGTTTGTATTTACAGACTGCAGAACAAGGTAAATTTGTATATGAAAAATGGAGTGATAAAAACCTGGGATTCTTATAAAACAAAGTGGAAATGACAGTTGTGTGTTATATTTACATAATTCATTACAAAACTACC